AAGTGTTTAAGCTGTGTACAAACAGTCAGGCCAGGACCAATGCACATTGAGGCCAATATGATGTTGCTGTTATATTCAAAGAGGGAATCAAACCATATTGGCTACAAACACAAAGTCACTTTACTGTAAATCCTGCAAAGCAAGTGTTGTGAGACTTTTGGATGACATGATAAGGTGTTAAAACAAAAATGCAAGAATTTTTTGATTATTATATCGATTCATTTTTCAGAGAACAGATACTTGTTTCCCCCTTTCCTCTTACTCTCTTGGAGGTTAGTACTCGACCAGGGACAATATTCCACAGGAGCCATTAACCTTGTGGTACCGCATCTTAGTATTCACTCTTCATGTGTGAATCCTGATCATAGTTGTTCGGGTAAAAGGAAACAGAAGTAGATAGGAGAATCTGCTTGCAAAACACATCTCACTCATTGGGTCTTCCTGATAACAACCCCAAATTCAACCATATGGAAAGGAGGAGGGAATGGGTAGTATATCCAGAGAGATTCTCACTAGTGCAAGTTAATCACAATACTATAGTTGTGCTACCAACACTAAGTAAAACTTCCATTCAGCCAGCACCATTTAAGTAAAGTAGTGCTTTGAAACACAATGGGACTGAGCAACAAGTGAAAGGAATTTAGAGGTAACTAAAGCCAAAGGTGTAGAGATTACAGTTTGAAGGACCCATTACTCAACAACAGAGTTCAGGCAAGCAGGGTATTGGAATAACCAAGCCTAGAAGCCACAGGCAAGGGTCTTAGGACATAGAAATGCACGACACGGAAGAAGGCCATTTGGCCCATCGTGTCTGTAACAGCTCCCTCGAGAACAATCCTTTCAGATCCATTTACCTGCCTTTTCCCCATAACCCTGTAGTTGACTCTATTTAAGGTATCTGCCTAGTTGGTATTTGGTACTAGTAGCCAGGAGAGAAAGCTGAGCAAGTAAGAGCCCAGTGTGGGGCTTGAAAGAAGTTAGGAATTGAACAGACACTGAGGTCCTGCTTTGGTTCCGTGAGGTGGAATGAGCGCGAGTTGCTACTCATGTTTGCTACGCAGACACACACACAAACACCAATGAGTCAAATATTTGTCTTCTTTCCTTGGGCAGCAGCATGATAACTCTTTCACAATATGGTGCTCACTCTGTGGGAGAGCAACTCCTAGCAGAAATATTGAGCACTGCTTCATTCTTATACCAGAACATTGTGCACCACTACTGCTGCTCAAAAGCTGCTGCACATGTGTGAAGCAACAGCCAGTGACACTGGTATTAGCTCTAATAGTGACTTGTTCTATTGCTCTTAAGTTCAGATAAATAACACAATAGAAACCAGGGATCAAACCTGGGCCTTCCCAATTAAATTCCAATTTAAATAAAATATTCCTTCAGCATGTTTTTATCCAAAGCAATAATGCTGGAATTACTGCATGGAAAGCAGTAATTTATTGGTAAATAACAGTAACAGACTTAGAGTTCCACTCTGAACACATCCAGTTTTGCAACTGAAGAACTGGTCAATACTGCATTACATTATCTTATATATTGTCACAAACTGAACCAATGATGCAGTTTGCAGCTCTTAAATATCACAAGTGTATCTAACATGGAATAAAAGAAACTCAACTCAACTCCAGCCTCTATTAAATGCCAAACAGCTGGAGTAGAAGAATCTCTAGTGGTGCAAAGAGCATGTTTGCCTGTCCTTTCCTTCTCTCTCTCTCTCTTTCTCACATACAAACATAGCAGCAATTGTCATCGTTTTCCACCATATCCATTTCTCCTCGGTCTCTCACAGTTCTCTATCCGCGTAGTTGATGGGCTGTTGCCATCTTATTGAGCAACCTTTCCTCTAGGCTCAGGACTTGGCAAAATGCAGCAGCCTGGTCCAGACGTTATGCTGTGACAGTCCCAGTATCGCCCAACAAAGCATGTTTGCGCTCCAGCGGTGCAAACTTGCAGTGCAAACTTTTTTGCAATTAGAAACAAAAAATAAGAGGTGAAAGCAGATAATCGCATCGCATAGGTGGTGTTTTCCCAGCACCGGCTCTTCTTATTGACAATAAAGGACCATCGGGGGGGGCTTTGATTCTTTTATATATATAAAAAAGAGATGCACACACATCATTCAGCAGATATGCAGTCGATTCACTTCACTTTGCAGTATATTCTGTGAAGCGCTTTGGGACGTCTAGAAGACGTGAAAAGCGCTATATCAAATGCAAGGATTATTATTATTGAGAGAGACACAGACTTACAGAGCAGGACAGGCGCCCTGCAGATGAAAACATGTTCTGCTGCTAAACGGCTTAACTGGTCCCACCCAGCTGCTGAAACTGAATTCCCAGCATGGGGAAGGGGGTTATATGGAGGTGAGGGGAGGCACCCAAAAACCATCTCACTCGTTGCAATCTACCTGACAACACTCCCCCTCCCCCACCCCCCAAATCAACCATCAGCTCTTTTTTTTTACACACAACCCTATTCCTTGAGCTCACAAAGCTCCCCCCCCAAAAAATAAACCCACAGAAATGATAGTGGGAGGGAACGCGGTGGGAACACTCTGCAAAACCATTCGAGGAAAGGGATCTCGTTTCTCCCTCATCTCATCTGGATCGCTGTGGGGGGCTGGTGCTGGTGGACGAGAGGTTGCAGTGTTGAGCAAGCAGTTGCCGTGTTTGAACCAAAAAGGCTATTTATACAGACAGCAGTGCTATTCGCGTCCCAGAGCTAAGTCTGTGTCAACAGGTTTGATTGGAGAGAACAGGCACTGAGAAACACTGGAGAAGAGGTTTCCTTCCAACCCCCCCACACCCGCCACCCCCCACCCCACACGCAAACACACACACCCTCCTCACCCCACCATCCTTTCCATTTATCATCTTCCCAAACCTCAGGTCATCTCATTCCCTCCTCACACACGAAAGCTACGCAAGTTAGCGGATAGCTTGCAACCAGCTTTCAGCTTTTACAAGTTGATGCAACCGATTGATCCATCTTCAAAGTCTTAACAGGGCACCGAGTGGTGGGGGGGGGGAAGAGGGGAAGGAGTCCAAGCAACAAAAAACGAAACAGAGAGAGAGCGCGAGAGAGACAAAGGGCAAAGGAAAAGTGCAGGAGGTGAGAAAGGAGAAAGGAAATCATCAAGGGGGCGAAATTTTTTTTTAGCAATCTCCAAGGAAATGAGAGTTAAACGCACAAGAATTTTGTTGTTTCCCCCCCAACCCTGATCATAAAACAAACGACAGATGGGAAACGAGAGATTATTGGAGCTAAATCAGATCCTAAGAAGCATTGCTAACGGCGCCACTTAAAAGATCTTCTTAATCTTCACAGAGGGAGAGAGAGAGAGAGAGAGAAAAGGGTCAGAGCACAAATGATCACTTCCCAGAAATATAAAACCTGGTGAGATGCTCGTTACCACAAACTCTCTCTCCCCCTCCCTCTCGATTGCAACCTCACAGCAAAGAACTGGGGGGAGAGAGGGGGGGAGGGAGAGAAGGAGGAGAGAGAGAGAAGGAGGGAGGCAGGGAGGGAGGGAGAGAGAGAGAGGAGGGAGGGTGAGAGAGAAGGGAGGGAGGGAGAGAGAGGAAGGAGGGAGGGGGAGAGAGAGAGGGAGGGAGGGGGGAAGAGAGAGAGGAGTGAGGGAGGGAGGGAGAGAGAGGGAAGGGGGGAGGGGGTGAGAGAGGAGGGAGGGAGGGGGGGAGAGAGAGAAGGAGGGAGGGGGGAGAGAGAGAGGAGGGAGGCAGGGAGGGGGAGAGAGAGAATGAGGGAGGGGGAGAGAGAGAAGGAGGGAGGGGGGAGAGAGAGAAGGAGGTAGGGGGAGAGAGAGAAGGAGGGAGGGGGGGAGAGAGAAGGGGAGAGGGGGGAGAGAGAAGGAAAAAAGGGGGGAGGGTGAGAGAGAAGGAGGGAGAGAGAGGAGGGAGGGGGGAGAGAGAGAAGGAGAGGGGGGAGAGAGAGAAGGAGGGAGGGGGGAGAGAGAAGGAGAGGGGGGGAGAGAGAGAAGGAGGGAGAGAGAGAAGGAGAGAGGGGGAGAGAGAGAAGGAGGGAGGGGGGAGAGAGAAGGAGAGGGGGGAGAGAGAGAAGGAGGGAGGGGGAGAGAGAGAAGGAGGGAGGGGGGAGAGAGAAGGAGAGGGGGGAGAGAGAGAAGGAGGGAGGGGGGGAGAGAGAAGGAGAGGGGGGAGAGAGAAGGAGAAAGGGGGGGAGGGAGAGAGAGGAGGGAGAGAGAGAAGGAAGGAGGGGGGAGAGAGAGAAGGAGAGAGGGAGGGAGGGAGAGAGAGAGGGAGGGAGGGGGGAGAGAAAGAAGGAGAGAGGGAGGGAGGGAGAGAGAGAAGGAGGGAGGGGGGTGGGGAGAGCCATCCACATCTTTGACAGCTCCCAAAGTGTGCAAACATGTGTAGAGCAGCATTCTTTGCAGTCAGTCTCACTCCGGCACATACACACTCACTCACTCACTCACACACACACTCACTCACTCACTCACACACACACACACTCACACTCACTCACACACACACACTCACACACACTCACTCACTCACTCACTGCAGCTATTGCGGTGCCCAAAGAGTTACTGCAGACAAACACAGATTGCATTCATTTTAAGATCAATTCAGCACCAAAAGAGTTACCCATTTTCTATTCATTTACAACATATATATACACACACACACACACACACACCCCACACACACACAATATATGCAACATGCACACACACACACACACACACAACATATCCATTTAATACCACGCGTGTGTGCAACTGTATAATAAAAGTCAGGTGTGGATCAATTCATATCGATTGCACTGTGCAACAAATAATGGGACTTGTTGTACAATACTTCAGGAAAGTGATTCGTTTGCACCCACTCCCCAACCCCCCCCCACACCCCCAAGACCACTTGTTTCCCTTTGCAGACCACTGTCCAGATTATTTTCCCCCCTCCCCTCTCCCCTCCCCTCCCCCCTCTCCCCCCCATCCCCTCACCCCTTACCTTGTGGGGAGCTCTGAGCAGCCGGTGGACCCCGGCGATCTGATTGATCAGAGGGATGTCCTCTCGGAAAGTGTAGACGGGGGGTCGGGTGGGTTCGGGGAAGTTGGTGCTGTTGAACGGATCGGTGTCGTCTAAGAACTGAACCCTGCAGACGAAAGTGGCCATGGTCTACAGCCATGCAAAACAGGGGGGAAAAAAAAG